TTGGTTGATGGTCAGGTTGGGTAAGCACACAGATATCGCGGGAGCCGCCCTGACGATCCCTTGCATGCGAACGCCCTCGATCAATGCTCCAAGCTGCCATGTGCTGGTGGCTTCTGCAGGCACTCACCATTGGCCGCCACGACTACCGACAGCAGACATCCCTCCGAGCAGAGCCATGTCTGTTCCCCGCTGTTGTTGGAGTTGAACTTTGAAGCTGGAGCTGTAGTGGCGCCCTTCCCACTCCCAGCTATCCCTACCCCCACCCCATCCCCGTCCATCACGACCCCATTACCCTTGGTGGTTAGGACAGTAGAGGATGGTTTATGATGGATTTGATCTTGATCGTTTGAGTTGAGAGGGGCGCTCCAGCCCTGGTCCGCAGACTATCACTGATATACTCCCCAGTCTAGGATTTATAGATGTTTATTAGATTTCTCCTGGTGATTCTTCGTTCCAGTGCCTGAACACTCCTTTCTTCAGATGCATACATCTATCCCACCATTCCACGTCTTGAATTCCTCTCAACATTCTCATCATCTCTTGTCTACTCATTGTCTGCATTCGTAGAGTCCTCAAAGGCATTTCGTTTCAGCTGGTTCAAGTCTTTCTATCTCATTGAGCTCTCCAGTCGGCATTCCTTTGCCAAACACTTGCTTGTTGCCATGTCTTCATCACTCTATCATCCGAGGCCTGTGCTGTCCTCACAACGCTATACACCTTCACCAGACTACCTTCAAGATGCTCGACGAACATATCACAACAACAGCCGCCTACCTCTACGTGAACAGGCCGGCAATGCGCAGTCACACAACTTCAACAGCATGGTATCATGCTATCCCAACACAGTAGGCATCCCGCCTTCGGTACCAGTCAGCCTCCCAGCTCCCATGATCCCCTCACAATCATTCGAGTGCCTGTACCGGGTACCTACACCCAGAAACCAACCCCGATATCAGAGAAGACCCAGGAATGGTGTCAACCCTCTATACTTCTGGCCTGCCTTCCGCCAGTACCGCAACCGACAAGCACACAAAGACACCCAGAAGGACAAGGGCGGTGTTTGGAGAAGACCAGAGCTTGAGGATGCTTTTGTTGACTGTAAGAATACCCTCGCACTCCTCTTGACTTGATCTATACTAATGAGGCTTAGCTGTTCTTCTCATGCCTCACATGGGTCGCCGCAAGTTCTCTATGGGCGGCAAGCTCCATGGTCGAAACATGCTCATCAGCGAGTACATCTTCACAATCTGCGTTGCTATCCTTGGCAGCAAAGAGATTTTCCGAATCGACAACAGCAACGACAGCATTGAGCAAATGGGACGCAAGCAGGTCTCAAGTCATATGCAAGTGGTCAAGAAGTTCTTTGAGGACTTGCGATGCTGTAAGTCACTGCCGTGTGCCTCATATAAATATCTTACTGACTTCACTAGTCCACTTCCTCTTCCCTGCTGAAGAGAAGAAGGAGCCTGGCTCCACAAACTCTGAGGACTACTATGATGAGGAGGAGCAAGAATCCTTCAAATCTAACCCTGTCCTGACTGCTCTCGCTGAAGGCCGAGTGCCTGATGTGAAGCCCAACTATGAGTACTTTTCGCAACTGCTTGCTCTTCAGTCTCTTATCTCAGTCCGCCCCAAGACAGCAGAGATTTATGTCTCATCTTCTGAGGTCAAGTTCAAGGATGAGATCGCGTATGACGCCCAGGACAACGCTCTGGACACTGAGTCCTTCCCGCACCTGAACAAGTACAACAACTGTGATGACAGCCCCAGTGTACTCGGAAAGGATGTATTGCTTCATGAGTACACCCGCTCTTTGGATCGAACCACTTCTGCCTGTGTCAAAACGGTAACTCGCCGATGGCAGAAGGATGCACCCGAGATCTACGAGACTCTAGATCTCCCAACTCGAGATGAGGAGTGCTTACTTCTCGAGATGTGCGCTACTCTTGAGTTGCATGAGCATGCTCGTTTCCCTTCAGGTTCTGAGCTCACTGGTTTTGTCGAGGTTGCCATCACAAACCCCAACCTCCAGAACCACCGATGGAAGTGTGTTACACGCCTCACTCGCCCATCTGAGCTTTACGGTGATGACAAGAAGCAGGGTGTTTACACCAATGAGACCGGCATTCACCGCCGGGGCTGCAGCGACTCCAAGGCTGACTGCGACTGTCACTCGCGCCCTCGTCAGGATATCCATGTTCCCTTCCCCGCCGTTGAGTGGGCTAGCATTCTCAGCATGGCTGTTCAGTATCCTGATGTTGAGCACCAGCGCAAGAAGGACAAGCGCACCAAGGGAGACGACCGCAAGAAGCACGACCTCGACCGCTCTGGCAGCAAGCGCAAGCGATCCGAGGACGACGGCGATGCCGCTTCTTGGGCTCGCCGTGACCTGACTGGAAGCGACCTCATCTGCAAGGTTGCCATGTACCAAGAACTTTGGTCGTGTGCTCCCGACTCCAACCGATGGGTTCGCCAGGGCATCGTCTTTTGGCGATTCAACACAACCAACCAATGGTACAAGTACAACCCGGTATTCAAGCCGGCTGGTACTTCGTGGCGCTGGTTGACAGTTAACGACCCTATGTCCCGCTACCACCAACAAAAGGCCCTCGTTTATCCTTCCACCTCTATGTCACGAGATGCCATCATGTCGCCCACACCTTCAATCAACCAGCACATGACAGCAGCGATGAATGAGACTTTTAGCTCTGCATGGGATCCTAGCGTGAGCCTGGCTCAGGTACCAAATGTACCCGCGACAAACAATGGTGGAATTACACTGTTCGAGTCCTTTTCTGGAGGTCTCGCTACACCTCCACCAACAGCGGGCTTACAACCGTCGTACCCGACCAGCTTTGACCATGGTTTGCCTCCAAGCACAGGCGTTGGTTTCATGCCCGCAACATGCAGCACAGCAAATGATAGCCATCCGGTTGCTGGACACGGACACGGACACGGACACGGACATGGACACGGACACAGCCAGACGGCGGGATACTACGATGCGCAAACAACACTGGCAGATCTCAAACCTGTCATCTCCACTGCGAACCCTTTCCAGAGCCCAACAACCACATCAGGATTGGATCTGTCAAGTTCACTTGGTTATGATAACCCAGATAGCCTTCAAGGCTGGGACATGCCGGCGTTGGACGGATGGTCTGCCAGCACTGGCGGACCAGAATGGGGTTCACACCACAAGCCCGAAGCCAGCAGTGACCAGACATCTCTATGGACACAATCACAGTGGGCTATGGCTGGAGCTGATCGTGATGGCAGCCCCAGGCCAATGAAGCGAAGACGAGGAGATGCTATTGATAGCCATGTGCCAGTCACAATGGCAGCAGCAGGAGGATGGTGAACGAGATCACTGATGAGATGGATCATGTATTTACGCGTTTAATGTCACAATAGTCATGTAATGTTACGGGTTTGGGTTGGTACGGTATGGAAATTTGGGTGGCGTTCAGGATGACTTTCGGAGTTGTTGGATTATGAGATTTCAGTAATACCAAGTTCGTTATAGATACGACAAGCATTTCGTTTGATAGCTCATGGGAGATTATAGAATCAAATCAATTAGTTCATCCAGGTCGTCCGTCACCTTTCGTCTTTATGGATGTGGCTATTCAATGTCCGCGCATGGAAATGATTATCAGTTTCAGTGAAATTCCTCATGACGTCTCGGATTTCAGCTCATCAAAGGTTAAAAGAGAGTTTAGAGTCACAGGTTCGTTGGTCGATCACTACATCACCAACAGAGACTAAGGCAAGGGACAGTGACGACATTCACATCGCATGCAGGCACCAAGAGGATCTGCGCCGTGAATGAAGGTTTAGATGGCGAAGATGGAATTTAGCGTTTCTTCATCTCGATCCACTCGAGATTGAGTTATTGAATAAAGCTTCCGAGGGTGTGAAATAACGGTTTTTTTCGTTCCCTTTACGTAGGTGGACTACAGCTAAGGTAATTTGAAGGAGTAAAAAAGGACCCAAATAGTCGGGACACGCCATCTACGTCGAAAAAGCAATAATTGCGGAAGCTAAACTTGGAGAACCTGAAAGGAGTAAGAGGGAGTAACATGGAGGGTGGGAAAGGATGGGGAAGTGAGACATTGAGAGAAGCCATTGAAGAATGGAGACGGAACGAAATAAGGTACCTAGCAAACTCACAGGCACGTGAGTTGTTAAAATGTGGAATTTGTGAGTTTTGACACTGTAATCATGGTGTAGTCTCTGAAGATGATAGATTTTCTAATGCTTAAGAATTCATAAACAGTCGTTTGACGTAAGTTGTCACTCTCAAAAAGACGTCAAAAGACTGAATGAACAAGAGAGGGCGTGTGAGGAGAATATCCATGTCAAGGGAGGGGCGTGGATGAGGGATGAGTGAGTTTGAAGGGGTGCGGAGGTATTGAATAATTCAGACAATAGATTTATGGAGTTTCTGAGGAGTGAAGGAGGTTTGTTATTGTTAGTGCAGAAGAATTCGATATTTATTTGAAGGAGTTGACGATGTGTTATTTGGTGTTGATATTGAATGGAGTTGAGGGTTAGATATTGAAGGGACGCACTGAAGGAGTGAATGTGCCTTGAACAGCTGAGATATATTGAAGGAGGAGACTATCGGTTACTGAAGCAGTCCCCAGTCAAGTGAAATGAGCAATATAGAATTCTTCTGATGTTTGCTGGTATGTATGGTTGTGTACTACGGGTCACTGCATTGCATTTGAGGGCTCAGCAGCGAAGATGAGTGAGTCAAGGAACCGCATGTCATTAAGAAGGAAATAGACGAGAAAACAGTTCATAATAAAGAGACGAATTATAAGAGAAAATTGACGGCCACGAGCTGAGCGACCTCGTCAAGGTTCAACACGATTTCCAAGATATTTGCTGACCTCGTCATCATCTTATTTTGGTGGAGTTGAGTCGGGCGCTTGATCAAACAAGGTCGTCAATGCAGCGATAATTTTACATGGAGCGACCGTAGAGATGACCTTGTGGGACGATGACGACGACTTTTCAGTAAAGAAATGAGAGAGATTGAGAAAGTAAAAGAAGAAGAAAAGCAAGAAAGAAAAAAGAGGGTGTCGCGGTCCATATAGATAAATGTGAGAGATAATAGTCCCGTCATGACCAACAAAGGCGTCTAAAATAGGTAGATCTTCAACTGATGTGATGGATGTTAAGCCACTCTGTACGGCAGCCTTGCTCCAAAACCACCACTGAATACTCCGTATTTAGGTACTAAGGTATCTAGCTTAAGCGAAGAAGCGGTACTGGCATTGGCCATGGCGGTAGGCCTCAGGCGACTGGTCAGTCCACGCAACTCTGAGACAGCGATACCTGTTCTTTACTTTTTCATCCTTTCTACCTACATGTGGACTGCTCTCTGCTAAATTTACAGCGTACCAGCCCCTGTCGCAAATCCCTGTATCGATCATTTCTAGAGCACAAGCCACAGCCAATTGGCCCCTGGCCGCTAAAAAAGGTACAGCCGCGCTTGCAACCGTCGCCAGTTAATTTCCTTAGACGCTCGCGTTTTGTGGGCGCCAATCGAGCAACGACATCCAACCGATCCGCTTCGCATCCAGACGTTTCATACTATTTTCTGTCTCTCTCTCTCTTGTTCTATCTTGATAATCCCGGTAACAGATTAGCCTGCTACAGGCATTATTATGAAGACTCTCCATAGACCTGCTATATCCTTGTTTTCGCCTCGTATTGAACTGTCCCGTCTCTATGGATAGCCAACCACCGCTGGGCTGTGAGTCTCGACCCAGACGCCTTGCCTGAACTATTGACATGAAGCTCTTTGACCGTTCAGGCGGCTATCAACATCCCAGTTTCGAAACGTTTCTCTTTTGTGGGAAACATCTATTCTCAGCCTGGGCTCCCTACCCTTGCACTGGGCTACAGAGCTCATGTCTTGTTGAGTGGTTCTCGGGACAAAGTCTGTGCCCCTTGAGCGCTTCCCCAGACGACGCTGCGACGAACATGATCTTGGTGGTCTTGTTTCTATGCCCACTTTCTCAGTCTAAACGCGCTATAGTGGCTGTATTATGCCCAAGTATGAGCTGCCGCGATCAGATATGCGCGATACGATGAGATGAACTAGCTGATGCTACGCCAAGCTCTACGCCATCTCAACAATGACATGCTCTCTCTTAGCCGCGCCTCGTCTTTCTTCCTGTCCTGCCCTGCCATGATCGTGCCTTGCATGCCTGTACCTCTCTCTTCTTCCCGTCTGCGTTTCGACTCCATCTGTACGAGGCCAGTTTCCTGGACCGCAATATGATGCCTAACGATAGGTCCTGGGGCCACTAGGGGGATATACAATGCCTCACTCCCCGTCCCAGATCTCATGTTTCTCTCCAGACAGACTAAAAGAGCAAAGTGTTTCGTCCTTCGGGTGCCTGCTTGACATCTCTGCTTGATTGCCGTGCATTATTTGTGTCTGTCTACCTCACTTGAGTTCTACGAAACACCTCCCCGCTTGCTTGTGTTCTTGATTGTCCCTATCTCGTGCAATCTCTTCATTACCACTCGTCCTCCCATCCGTTCGCTGTCGTGATCTCTTGGTTGTAAGAGCCTCTGACGTTAAGCTCCTGCGCTCTCGGATCACAACTGACACGCATCACCCGTTTTTGTTGTTCGTGATTCACGAACACCAAGATGCTGAACTAGAGCAAGCGGTATACAACCTCTCTCTCTTTTCCTTTGTCACCTCTCTCTCTTCTTCTTCCCTCTTCTCTTTTTCATTGAACAAATACTTTTGTTTCTTTCCTTGTGTTCCCCCTCTTTCACCTGAGGTTTCAGCAGGACTGACCAAATCCACAACACACACACACACACACACACACACACACACACACACACACACGCAACACTTTACCTGCGCCGGCGCTCGCTCAGTCTTCTAACAACATACCTTACACTGCAACCCAAGTCAAACAGACCACAATCACCATTGATTGTAGAGGTCCAAGAATCTTTCATTGATAGCTTGAAGTGTTCGTTATTGGTCAGTGTTCAGTCACCGCTCATTGCCTGTTAACCAAGGCCACTCACACTCTGTCAGTGTTCGCCAGCTGTCAACCACACAAAGTCCTATTCACTGTTCGCTCGCACACAACAGTTGTTCCCTTTTCATCAACAATAACAACATCATCTGCGAACTTCCATAGGTAGTGGCGGGCTTTGCCTCTCTTCCGCTCCTTGGTGCATAAAACGCGACGCATTCATTCTCCTCCCAGGAGTTCACTCTTGGCCAACTTTCCTTTCGAAATATCATTGCAATTTAATTTCAACACAAGAAAAAGAAAAACCACCAACTCGCATTTTGCGACCGCAAAAAACCATTAAATACCTTACGAAACATCACTATTCAGCATGAAATTCTTCCAGGCCTCTGGTGTCGCTCTGGCGAGCACAACGCTCATTTCTCCGGCCCTGGCGCACTCCTGGGTTGAGTATGCCTACAAGCTCGCTCGAAATGGCACAATGTTTGGGAATGTAGGATATCCTCGTGGATATGTGCCTCGCGATTCTACAAATCCTCCATTCGCCGACACAATTCCCCAGAATATTCTCCCCCAGTCAGGCCAGTCCGCTTACTCCGGCGAAGAAATTCTCAACAAGTTCTCTTTTGAGAAGAAGCCTCAATATCCCATGCTCGAGGCTGCCCCTGGCGATTATATTGCTATTATGCATCTCGAGAATGGCCACACTACCCTTCCTCAGAACCAGCCCAACAAGCCCAAGAACCGCGGCACTATCTATTTCTATGGCACCACACAGCCCAAAGAAAAGGAGAAGCTCTTCGACGTCCATCTCCTCTGGAACAAGCAAGGCACAGGCGGTGACAAGCGCGGCAAGCTTCTCGCCACGCGCAACTACGACGATGGCCAATGTTATCAGCCAAACTCTGGTGAACTCAGCACTGAGCGCTCTAGCGAACTCGCTCCTCAAGGCGCTCTCCACACCAAGGAGCTGGCCTGCCAGTCCGACATCAAGCTGCCCGACAACCTCAAGACTGGTGACATCTACACCATCTACTGGTACTGGGACTGGCCCGACCTGAACAAGGACAGGATTGATATGGAGGCCACCAAGAATGGCAAGTTCCCTTGGGCTGGTACATTTATGCGCGGCGACAAGGATCCCAATGGCTTCACCATGGATGCCATCGCCCGCAACGAGAGTTACTCGAGTGTTATCGACATCAAGATTACTGGACCTGACGCCGAACCATTCGCTGCCAAGAACCTACAATCTCTTGAATGGGTCGACAATCAAAACATTTACTCTGCCGGTATCAAGGATCAGATGAAGTCCAACTTTCAGGTCGACGTTGATGGCAGCAAAGGCGACGACACCGTTCCTTCATCAACTGCTGTCAAGCCTACCACTACTGCACCCGTTGACGGAGGCGCTGGTAATGATGGCGGCGTCGCTACAGTTACCGTCACAGCGACTGTGAAGCCTTCTCCCATTATCAGTACTGTCTATGTTACCATGCCCGCTGAGTCTCTTGCTTCACCCGAACCTGAGCCTACAGAGGCAGGACCTAGCACCAAGACCATCACAACAACAGCCTTTGTCACCCGAAGCAAGACTTCTCATCCATCCGATGCTGTGCCTACACCACCAACTGCCTCGACTGTTTACGAGACTCTCTACACCACCCGGCCGAAGGAACAACCGACTGGTGGTGACCACCAGCAGCAACCTCAGCCCTCCACAGTCATCAAGACCATTGTGACACACATCAATACACCAACCTCCTCGGGAGAAGCCAACGCTCCTCAACATACAATGCCCGGTGGCGAGTTCCGCGAGGATACTTCTTCCACCAGCCGTGGCGCTCCCTCTCAAACACAGAGTGACGGTCCTCCCGTTCCCACACCATTTCTCCGCCGCCGCCAAAACTGGGTGTTTGGTAACTTTTAGGTTGCTCAACAGCCCCACTCCTTGACATATATTACTATATTGTCAAGGTTGACCATCCTTCCTTCGTCTCTCAAGTATATATAGACGGCTTCGTGTTCCTCATCTCCGGGAGATGCAGGTATCGGGTTGACAACACAGCAAAAAGGGGCGCCGGTCGCATTTCACGGCGTTGGATATATAGATACCAATCTGATTTTTATGCGCCTCTCACCCCCCTTTTTTTCTCCCAGTGTCTATGGGCGTTGGAGAAAGAGGAGAGAGAGAAGGCAGGCCAATTTCTTTCGGCATGTACACATGATTTAATGCAGCGTTATGATTTTGCTTTTGGTCGGGTGCTTTGCCGGTGGGCGATGGGTACGTGGGAATCTAAGGAAGCAGAGTTCAAGATAAAAATTCCAAAATAGTTCGCATCGATTTCTGTGTCTAGTGAAGTGGAACGTGTTTGCTGTTGTTGTGAATGTGTTAGCGTGGACTGTAATGTGATCATCTCGGCAGTCACTCTGACACGGTGTGGTGAGAGTCGATCTGGGAGGCTTTGAGGCTGGTTCACCAGCATATCGTCAACTTGGTCGTGCGACCAATGGTTTCACGGCAGATAGTTTGGAATGTTATCCATGAATTCCTACACTCTCTATGTCTCAGGACTCTCCAGGCCCAACTTCTGGTATACAAGCTGCATGTAATTTACCTCGGGAGACACGAGTGTAACAAAGAAAGACATGAAAAGCGCCGAGCCAGGGGCGCATCGAGATGTGAATTCGGGATGGTAACTCTACTGATCTAGATCTCGGCCTGCTCAGCACCAGATCGTGATGTACCGTCCCGTATCTTCCTGTGGTTTCCACTAAGAGACACTCTACAAAACCGGCAGCACCATGAACGTTCACATTTCACCACACTGGGAGATGACTACGTCGAGGTTCGGTCTATCCGGGGCAGCATAGCCAGTTTTGGTAGCCTCCATCTTCTTAACCACGTCCATACCGTCGACGACCTTACCAAAGACGACGTGCTTGTTATCAAGGAAAGGGGTGGGAACAGTTGTGATGAAGAATTGAGAGCCATTGGTATTGGGTCCAGCGTTCTATTAATCAGTCAGTGACGGTTCCGTGGAAGCAGCGGGTATATCACGCACAGCCATGGATAAGAGGCCAGGCTGATCATGTTTGAGAGTGAAGTTCTCGTCTTCAAAGCTCTTGTAGCCCCAAATGCAGGTCGATCCTGAACCATCGTTATTGAGAAAGTCACCACCTTGGCACATGAAATTTGGGATCTGTTCTCAAGTTAGTCCATGATTGCACTTGTCATCGGAGATACGAGACTCACTATGCGGTGGAACTTGGAGCCCTTGTAACCCTGAGGACGACCGGCACTGTTCTTGCTCTCGCCGGTGCAGAACTGGCGGAAGTTCTCAGCAGTCTTTGGTACAACATCCTTGAAGAGTTCGATCTGGATGCGTCCAAGAGGCTCACCTGATGTTGTTAGTTTGAGTAGAAACAATTGATTGAGTGCCCGTAGCCAACACTGATATCGACAGGGTCTTCACGGCCTATTCCGCAGATCACTGGGAATAGCCTCACTTTCGGCAGCGGTATGCTCCGTCTTCGGAGAGCGCACGGGAAGACTAACCTCCGAGAGTAATGTCAAGAAAGACACTATAAACAACCAGGCAAAGGTCAGCCCACACACACCCTCTTCTATTGGGGAGCTGACTCAAAACTGCGCTGCGAGGTGCATCGTCTCTCCACCCCGAGTCACCAGGGTGGAAGTATAATGCACCGCCACTCTATTCTGAGAGGCTTGAAGGGACTTACAGAGGATTTCCAGACTCGGGGAGCTTTGTAGGAGGCATTTTGAGGTATTGTGTGATTATTCCAAGTTGTTTATACGTTTTTGTCAAGATGTTTTAGACGGTGTGATGAAATGCAGTGTTAACCGGGCGGCCTGTTTCTTGCTGTGTTTTAACGTTAGTGTGGAGCTCCCAGTTAGCAAGTCAGCGTGGAGGAAGGTTGGGGATCTGCGATTGGTTGATCAGCTCGAGAAGGAACGATAAGGTGTTCAGCCAGGCTCTTTCGGTTTCTATCATTGCTCTGATATTTTCAGGTTATTCTTTACCTGGGTAAATCCTTTTCACGACTGCAGCAATCAACACTGAGACAAGATAGAGCATTGAAAATGATCGATTTCGAGGGTATCGTACGTCTTTGGGTTCGGATCCAGATCTAACACCACATCTCCGCTAAAGTACCCCATGATGCATCTCGACCAGGCCATCAACTAAGCAAAGCGGGGGTGGCATCCGGGGTTCATCAGGTCTATGAAGCCATTCGACGCCTTCCGGGTACGCCAGAGCCAAGCCAAAGCCAAGTGAAAGAATTACGACAGCTGAGGGGTAGTGAAATGGATTCATCAATGTCAATACTTCAAATTGAATGATCTTTTCTGATATTTGATGTGTCTGTCTAATTTATAGACCTTAGGTTCGAACAATTAGATCATCGCCGCTCAGACTTCTGTGTAAACATTTCTCAAGCTAAGCATCACCCAGGATCTTAGAAAGCCAGTAATGGCAAGCCCGTTACCCTAAGATCGATGGCTGAAGTCTACCTGTGCTCACCACTGATTCGTCAAAGCACATGTAATTTAGTGTGCATCTCGTCAAAAGCTTCCGAACAAGCCAAATCGTTGGCAACGTTCTGACCGTCAAAACGTCTGACTAAGGATATCGATGCTCATGCAACAAGAGTCAGGGTCCATCCATCCGTGATTTGGCACAAGCGGAAAGGACTCGAGATACACTGACGGGGAGGTCTTGGGCATATCAGTATGATTTGACAAACATGTCACTGATGACGATTGCTATGCAGTCGATGCTAAGATCGAGAGCCAAGACAACATAGCCTCCTCATGGTGCAGACATCATAGACTCTGGTATTTGTAATTCACCTCAACAGAATCAACGCATTTACATGGGATATATTTGCACAGCCTGGTGTTGACGACGACATCCCCCCATTTCGGTAGTTGATTATTCTTTGATGCTGGAGAGTTCCGGGTTTTTGTAAGTAACGTTAGCAAGCGAAAATCCTACCAGTACGTGGATCTTTGGCTTTTGCTTTGGTATCTGACAAGGCATTCACAACTGTCTTGAGGCCTATTCTTTGACGTCGTTTCAGTGACTGCGTCATAGCCCCATCAAGAATCAAGCACCAACTACCGGGATGCGCGGAACACACAAAGCAATGACCTGATAAACCATGACGAGGTATCGGGGCACGAGGACACAAAAAACTTCTTCTTCAATTGAAAATTGAGGTATAAAAAAAAAAGACAACCAACGAACCCGTTGCAGCCGAGCCTCCCGCAGATTCCGGTTGTTTGAGGCTCAAACCCCGCTGACCTTCTTCCTGTCAGAGCGTTAATGCATCACAGCGAGGCATTTAGAAACCAATCGCCACAAGCCAAGACGATAGCCAGTAAGCCAAGACCCGCCAGAGAGGACGGGGTGCAGCACATTATCCCTGCAAGACCATCCCAAAAGCACCATCCCAAAAGCACTACACACACAAGTCAAATCGACGCTAGGGAGCCGTGTGAGAGCTTAACATGATGCACTGTAGTGTACATGTCAGCTCTCTCTCTTGGTGTTGTGCATCTTGGAAGTGTTTCAGCATCGCTGGAGGTTGCTTCAATAAGTCTTGTCGTATTATCAAACCGCCTTGTTTTGATATTCACTTGTTTGTTTAAAGATTGTAGTATCCCTGGGCAGTCTTGAGACAGCTGTCACCCGAGGCCTGCATTGGAGGCCTGTGATGGGTTGACGATTGCATGAGAGCCATCCGATCGAAGGTTGTGTCGTACAATGACACTCCCCTACTGCAGGAACATCGTCATCCGAATTGAGTGGTTGTTTTTCATGATAATAGATATAAGCTACAGGCGAATTGACATTACCGGATTCACCGTGAAACCTGGGCTTATGTATAGAGCCACCGCGTATTCGCAGGCACATGAACGCTATATGCACTTTCAGCCACAGTAAGGCCAAGCAAGATATTGAATGCGTCCCCTACTAATCGTATGTGGACGGCTGAGCTGTGCCGCTTGTCCAGACCACCTAGGCCGAGGCCACAGCTGACAGTCTCAACATCATCACCTGTCAACAACCTTGCCCCCCCTTTTTTTGTCTTATTTTATTACTTCGAAACCTTTCAAATGGCTGTTCTCTTTAAACATTTTCGCATTAATTACTATCCCTCTTTTTGCCGATGACGATCTTAGTGGAGCGGTTCAGAAACAAGGAGCTCCGCGATGCGGGCCGGGCTTGAGACGAATTAAGTCGGCAACAAGTGGAGCCGTTTCGGTGGGAAGCGCTATGATGCTTGTCGATATCCGGCCGAAGGTTTTGGGCCTCCAAAAGCAAGCAAAAAGAATTCATAAATAAATAAACAAACAAAACCTTCTGAGTAAGCGGCTAAAGCCATTACCGAATATGTCTTGATTGTCAGATATGTCAAGCTTCAACGGTGTAAACCGGTGACTCGGAAATTTGCGAACGGCATGTTACTGTGGCGAAAGTTTGATATTCGGCAATAGACCACTAACTGTCAAAATTAGTATCAGCAACGAACCACCTATAGTGAGTGACTGTATCTGGAGTTTGATTTAGACTTGAGTAGAGCTGACAGGATGCTTAAAGTGAAACCGTAACGTGAGTCGGATCTGTTAAATGTAACCAGGATTCCAGACTCTTGGTAATGGTTAATCTTGTTCATCCCGTCTCAGAAACTTGCCCTGTCTCATAAGACAAGGAAAAATCTGATCAAGATTCCCAAAAATGAGCAAAGCCCAAGAGCTCAGAGGAACCCCTGGTCAGAGTCCCCGTGCGCTTGAATGACGCCCTGTGACATCCACTTACTGGGCTTCTGTCTTCAGATTTCATCGTCCCCCGCGGACTGCGCCACGGATCACCTACGGATTTGAGCGACAGAGTGAAGCAA